TTGATTTTTACAGAGAGGAAGGGAGAGGGATAGAGAGTTAGAAACATCGATCAGCTGCCTCCTGCACACTCCCTACTGGGTAGGTGCCCGCAACCAAGGTACATGCCCTTGACTGGAATTGAACCTGGGACCCTTGAGTCCGCAGACCGACGCTCTATCCACTGAGCCAAACCAGTTAGAGGTAAACTACTTCTTAAAAAACTATTTGTAAAGGTCAGTTTAGGAATTTTCAAGAAAAGGATAAAAACCTAAACATATACAACTGATTCATTTCAAAAATGGGACCAAAGGTGGAAATTGTCAGATTATCTACTGCACCAAACGTTTATTAAACTATGTTTAACAGTGTTAGTTATTATAAAACACATAGTCCCAGTACTCAAGGGGTTCACTGACCTAATATCAAGACTTTAAGGAAGAAAGAATAGTAACTCTTACCCATCAATTATATTTTCAGGGGGGTGTTTTTCATCACTCGATGTAGCTAAAATCACTTCAGTCCCTTCAGAGCTCAAACAGAGATCAACTTTTCTCATCTTAAACTGTTTAACCTGCAAATAAAACAATAACACAGGAATAACAAAAGCTACGTCTTGATTCTCGGCACTTTATCTGAGAAAAAGAAGAGAGAAAGCCTGTTGCCTAGCACACAGCTTAACAACCAAGCTATTCAACAAGTGGGAAGGACGCTAACATGTTTATTTACATAAGTAAACTTCAGACCTCTCCCAGGAATGATCTGTAAAATATGAGTATTTCCACAATACTACACCACAAAACAAGTCCCTGACTACACTGACATAATTTTTCTGCTTCTAAAATTAAAAGCCCTCAATAATTCTAGAGAAATAGTTAAAAAGCTAAGGTGACTTAAGTGAATTGGTTAATTTCTTTAAAATTACTTAAATTATTGCCCTAACCGGTTTGGCTCGGTGGATGGAGCGTCGGCCTGCGGACTGAAGGGTCCCAGGTTCAATCCTGGTCGGGGGCGTGTGCCTTGGTTGCGGTCACATCCCCGGGTGGGGGTGTGCAGGGGGCAGCTGGTTGATGTTTCTCTCTCATCGATGTTTCTGACTCTCTATCTCTCTCCCTTCCTCTCTGTGAAAAATCAGTAAAATATATTTTTTTAAAAAAAATTACTTAAATTATTATAATTCTGAAATTATTTTTAAAAACCTGGAGCATAAAAACAGATTCTTTGTGACTATTTATCAATACATTTATCAACTGAAATAGCAAGCAATATTATTTATATCTTAAACATCATCTTTTTTTTTGAGTAGAAATGTAAGAGAGAAGACATCCTTTTCCTTATTTTCAAATTCTAAATCACTCACTTGGGTCATGGACTTAAAGACATTTATGTTGTATGCTAACATTTTAAGTTTAATAGAAACATCCTGAAAAGATAGTATTGAGCTCAACTATGAACCCTGGTGGGTAAAACTATAGGAAGACAGAGACGATTCTTCTAGATCTCACTCACCCTCCTCCTTGATCTGGTGATGATAGGGCAAAAACTAATAAATAGATGCAAAGTGGCTGGGAAAGCTGTATCTACAAAGAATTAAAAGAGTGTTTACAAAACTGAGGAAGACTTCCAATACCCTTCACACAATGATCCCAGTTTTTTTAAAAAAAGAGGACAATTACAAATAAACAAATGACAAAGTACAGAGAATGTTATATATATTAAACAACTATGCATTACTGCCCTGAGGTAATAAATGTTAACATTTTTGCTATATCTACTTAAAAAAATTCTTTTTGAGAAATATGTAGCCCTTCACTGGCCCCATTCCCTTCATGGCCCAGAAGTAACAGCTATTCTAAAACTGATGAATATCCTCCTAACTATATATATATTTTTAAAGCAAAACAAAGTCTTTAATCCCAGTACCTCCTAACTATATTTTATACTATTATCATACATATGTCTCCATAAACAATACGTACTATTCTTTGAAAACTTGGATGGTTCCTTTTGCTACCTTTTTTTTCAAATCCTCACTTGAGGAGTGAATATGTTTTTCCCATTGATTCCTAGAGAGAGTGGAACGGAGGGGAAAGAGAAAAACATCAATGTGAGAGAGACACACCAATAGCCTGCCTCTCCCAAGCACCTGGACCAGCATTGGGGATCCTGCCTTTAACCGAGGTACAGTAGGGCCTTGACTTACAAGTGTCCCGACTAACGAGTTTTTCGAGATACCAGCCATCTCTTGCCGATATTTTGCTTTGAGTTGCGAGCTAAAATTCGGGTTACGAGCCAGCTTCAGATACCCCACCACCAGTTGGTGCAGCGAACGTCACAGTGAACGTCATAGTGAACGCCACAACATCAGCCCAGCATCACGTGTCTCACTTGTTCACTTTTTGATTTGACATATGAGTAATTTGAGTTACGAGCTCCGTCACAGAATGAATTAAACTCGTAAATCAAGGCCCCACTGTACTTGCATGCCCTTGACCGGAATCAAACCCACCACCCTTCAGTCTGCCGGATGACACTGTAATCACTGAGAAAATTTGGCCAGGACAGAAAGACTCTCTTTAAAGAAATAAAATTGCAGAAACTTAGAATCAGCATATTTTTAAGTCAATAATTGACCAATTTGATCTCTAAATTATAACAATTTTCATTGCCATTTGCATTGTATGAGAGTTTCTGCTTCCTCAAAGTCTAACCATAATCTATGTGGTATTGTTAGACTTTTGGCTATAGTCAATCTCATTGGTGTGAAATGGTATCTCAATAAGATTTCAATTTCTATTTCCATGATTACTAGTGAAGCTGAATACCATTATATGTTTATGGGCCATTGAGGCCTCTTCTTCTATTACTTGCTTTTTCTTATCCTTGGCTCATTTTTCTATTGGATTGCTCTAAAAAAAGTTTTTGTCCATTTCTTTGTTATTTGTAGGTATTTTTAAAATAAAATATTCAGGATAGAAATCCATTATTATATGTTGTAAATATCTTCTACTCTGTGGTTTGATTTTTTTTTTTTGTAACTTTGGTTTTTTGTGTAGGAGTCTCCACAACTCTCACACACACTTTCTTTTTTTGCTATTGAACTATAACATACATATAGTTATAGATACAAATCATTAAGTATATAGCACAACAAATTTTCACAAGATAAACACACCCCAGTAACCACTACCCAGGTAACTGCCACCCAGGTAAAGAACTAGAACATTATCAGCATTTAAGAAGCCCTCTTCATACCCTCTTTCAAGCACTCCTCCTCCTTCCCTTCTAAAGGTAAAGCATGGTCCTTATTTCTAACACCATAGATTAATTTTGCCTAAACTTTATATTCATGGCATCATACAGATTGTACTCCTTTGTATCTGGTTTCTTTCACTCATTATTAGGTTTTTGAGATTTATGCATGTGGCTGTGTGTAACTGAGTTGAAGTGTAACTAAGTAAAGTGCATCTTAACTCCCATCCTGTTTAACTCCTAATAAGATTTTTTTTTAAAATCAGCCCCTAAATAGAGCTTCAGAGGAAGTTGGTATGAACTGAAAAGCAAAAAATTTCTGTGATTTCAGGTACTTACATCCCAAAACCCTGATGAAGGAGGGTCCTAATCTCACTCCCAAATATCTAAAATCAGAGGTAAACTGAAGTATTTAATTTTTTAAAAAATAGATTTTTATTGATTTCAGGGAGGGAGAGGGAGAGAGAGAAACATCAATGATAGCAGAGAATCAATGATCAGCTGCCTCCTGCATGCCGCCTGACTGGGGATCAAGCCCATAACCCTGGTATGTGCCCCTGACCAGAATCGAACCCAGGACCCTTAGTCTGCAGGCTGACACTCTATCTACTGACCCAAACCAGCCATGGCTAAACTGAACTATTTAAATAAAACTACAGCTGAAACCAATCCCAGCACAATCCCTAGGGGGACTGAAGTGATTTGCTCCTTATCCTAGCTCCCAGACAAAGAAAATAGTGTATTCTCTCAGGGAAGGGGGCAAACCTTATATAAAGAGATTAACCAAAGAATTGCATAACCCATGGACACAGACAATAGTACAGTGAAGGCCTGGGGAAGGGGCAAAATCAAGGTGGAGTGACTCAATGGGGGGAAAAAAGGGACATCTATAATACTTTCAGCAATAAAATTTTTAAAAAATTATATGCTGTGTCTATTCATTTAAACACAATGTCCAATACACAAAGTCATTTGAAGCAGATCTATAGATGACCCAGGTGCTGGAATCAGCAGACATAGATAAAGATGACTGCTATATATCTGTTAGAGAATTTAGTGAAAATAAGGACAAATGGGTGAACAGAAAGGGAATTTTAGCAGAGAAACTGAAACAGGAATTCTAGAACTGAAAAGTACAATACTTGAAGTACAAATTTTATTAGATGGGCTCAACATCAGATTGGACCCAGCATAAAAAAGAGTCAGTGAACTTAAAGATGGGTCAATTGAAATGATCCAAAATGAAACACAGATATACAATACATGAAAAAAACAGAAAAGTATCAGAAACCTGAAAAACACTATCAAACTTTGGAGTCCCAGAAGGAAAGGAGATAGAGAACAGTGTAGATGAAGAGATATGGCAGAAATTTTCCCAAAATCTGTGAAAGACATAAGCCCACAGATCAAGAGGTTCATAAACCCTAAATTGGATAAATACAAAGAAGATTCTACCTAGACATGTCTTGGTCAATTGCTGAAGATTAAAGAGGGGGGAAAACAGAGAAAGCAAAAAACACATTACATTTAGGTGAACACCAGGAATCAAAACTGACTTCTTATACCTGGCTGGTGTGGTTCAGTGGGTGAGTGTTGACCTGTGAACCAGGAGGTCACGGTTTGAATCCCGGTCAGGACATATACCCAGGTTGCAGGCTTGATCCCCAGTGTGGGGCATATAGGAGGCAGCCAATTAATGCTTTTTCTCATCATTGATGTTTCTATCTCTTTCTACCTCCCCTATTCTCTCTGAAATCAGTAAATATATATAATTTTTAAAAGATAGGGGTTATTTGATCCTATAAGCCTGATAAAGTGTTTGTATGTAGATTTTTTTTGACTATTTCAAGTTCAACAGTTCAAGTTTTCTGCACCTTCTTTTTAAAATTAACTTGAGAAAGGAAGGGAGAAACACTGATGTTATTCCACCCATTCATGCATTCATTGGTTGAATCTTATATGTACCCTGACAAGGGATTGAACCTGTGTATTTGGATGATGCTCTAACCAACTGAGCTACCTGGCCTGGGCAAGTTTTCTACACCTTCTTGAAACAATTTTGGAATTTATATTTTATAGAAAATTATCCATTTCTTCTTAGTTTTTATATTTATTGGCATAAAATTCATTTTTTATTGTGATTTTGAAATCTAGTATGACAATATTAAAAGTGTGGTAAGACTGGTCAAGAAGAAGGCATATATTCTAATATTTTTTATTCGTGCATTTTTCTTGCTTTTATTACTACTGGTACCAGAGGACTGGTATTAGATAAATATTAATCCTTAGTTTGAGAAGATTGTGAATTCCTAAAAATAACAGATTGATGAACTTGGATGTTAATTCTCAACAAAATTATTAAATTTCATTATTAAAATTATGGCTTTGAAAAGGTAAATAAGAATGTAGTAAAATAGGAAGCAGAAGTAACTTTAGGTCACAAAAGTTACACCATACCTATACATTTGTTTAATGGAGTCACTACCAATTAGGAATATTTTCTGAACATTTCAACAGAACTTCAGATAAAGCTTCTCAAGATATCCTATGGAACAGATGGAGAAATGTGGGTTGGCTAACAGGTGGTACTTTAGGTAGATATTTATGACTCTGAGTGGCTATACTAAAAGAATGATGATTAACAGAACAAAATAATACCTCTGTGGAAGACCTCTATCCTTATCCCCAGTCAACATTTTTATTAATTAAGGATGAAAAAAGTATGCTTATCAATTTGCAGATGACACAAATTGGCTAATATGCCAGATGACAGAATCAGCGCACAAAAAGATCTGAGCAAGCTAGAAAGATGGGTTGCAATCAATAAGATATTATAAGGATAAAAGTAAAAGCCTATCTATTCAGACTTAAAAAATCAATCACACAAGGATTAGTCTAGATTAGGGTTGGCAAATGACTGCTTGTGAGCCCAATTCTAGTCTGCCACCTGTTTTTGTACAGCCTAAGAATGCTTTTCTATAATATACTAGAGGCCCAGTTCACAAAATTTGTACACAGGTAGGGTTCCTACCGGCCACTGGCTGGGGCACCTCCCTTCCCTGGGGTGCCTGCTATTGCCGACCTGGAAGGCCTCCCTTCCCGGCCCTGCCCCTGGTCAAACTCCTGGTTGAGGGGACAATTTGCATATTAGGCTTTTTTTATATATATATAGGATAGGTTTGGTTCATTACAAAGTCACTCTAAGGCAAGGGTGTACTATATCTGCTCCCAAAGGTAAAAGAGTTGCACTCCATCAAATTTTCAGGCACTGTGCTGGTAACGCAAAGATGACTATACCTAAGACAAAGACAGTGACTAAAACTTGGTTCTTGCCTTCAAGCTGAGTCAAGGAAGATGGACAAACATGCATATGTTATATGCTTATAGTGTTATCTACATCCAGAATGCTGTGTTCAGTTCTGGGGAGTACATTTTAAAATATGTATTTATTGATTTTAGAGAGGGGTAGATATAAACATCGATGAGAGAGAAACATCATCCATCAGCTGCTTCCTGCATGCTCCCCACTGGGGATCAACCCCAAAACCTGGGCATATACCCTGACCAGGAATTGAACCGTGACCTCTTGGTTCCTAGGTGGATGCTCAACCACTGATCAATACCTGCCGAGCTAGGCAGTACATTTTAAGTAGGACATTATCAGGCTTGATATTGTTCAGAGGAGAGCAAAAAGTTGACAATCTGTAAAGTATGTTACATGAATAAAGCTAAAAGAACAGGGGTTGAAACATTTCAAGAAATGAGAGAAATACTATAATTTTTAATATCATACGTGTTCACAAATGGAAAAAG